GTTAAAAGTAATTTGAAGTCTTAAGAAATAAGCAAGTTGCATGGAACAGTACTAAAAGTTCCATGATGCAGAAGAGATAAAGAGGGTCATTTAAAAACTCCAGATAGAGCCCAAAGTAACAGACAGCCTTATCAAAACAAAATGATACTCTGCTTATAATTCCAGGATTCCTGCTTGTTGGTTAAATTTAAATAGTTTCTTTTAGTAAAGCCAAAGATGAAGAGAACGCTGCGGATACTGTTCAAGCTAATAAAAAGAGTTGCTCTGAATAGGTTTATTGTGAACATGAAACTCTAAGCCTCCCCTCACATCAGATGATAATCAAAAAAGGCAAACTGAAATCTGCTGGAAACTCAAACCTGCCGCGGTTACGTAAGGTTTCTGAATGGGCCATTTGCTTGAAGTTGCTCGTATACTGTCACAATTGTATTCAGATTGCTGGACCTCTGCAATAAAGTTTCTGTCCTCATCAAGCATGCAATTATTTTCTCAGAGACACCAATTCCCTGAAGAACAGGGAGAAAATTAAGCTCTAAACAATTCATTAAACAGGAACCTCACTTGCTGTCAGTTATGGAGCCTAGAGAGGTCTGAAGCTATTCTGTTTACCCTGAGAAAGAGAAGATCAAACAGGTAAGATACAGGTTTAAAGCTACCACAATCTCTCTCAAAGAATCAGTACAAAAAGGTTAGCGTACGCCTCTCCGCATTTTAAGTGACACTGTATATTTCTGTGCCCTTTTGTAGAAAGATCACACTTCTCATCTGCAGTGAACAGTACACCTTTATTCTGAGGCCTAAGCACCTGAACAAGGTTGCTTCTAATCTGAATTCCACTTTAAACTTTATTAGACATCTTTTTAACAGCCTGATCAGAACACGACAGTTGTTAATTTTTAAAACCCACCTCCTGGAAGAGTTGCGCTGAATCAAAGGCTTAAAGGTAACGGGTGTTACACTATTCAAATACATGTTCAGAGAACACATAGCAGCTACGTGACCAGCCTAAGAACTCTTAAAGAGCTACACAAAGACAAACACATACTAGTTTCTCTCCCTAGGAGACAACACTGATTGAGGTGAGAGACAAGGTGATTGAGGTCTAGTTGCCCCTATAAAAAGTTGCACTCATCTGACACAACGCCTCGAATGCCAACATGGAAACCTAGGGAGTTTTATCTGGTTAACTCCAGAGTCTTTGTGTTTTTGTACAGGCCTTTCTCACCATGCTATCCGCCATCTGTGCTCCTGCACACATCCACACTCATCCAAGCACACAACTTCATTTACCTATATTTAAATGCTGGCATCCACCCAGGTTCTTCCTATCTGTTCTCAGATATGCCAAGGTAGCAACTCACCAGTATCACCTTCTAGGAAGACACTCCCCAAAACAATACCTTGCAAAATATCTTCTCCTTACACTAGCAATGGGGATTGCTGCCAAGGCCATGGAGTTATTAGCACTAGGAGGTGAAAGAAACAAAGCACGGCCTGAAGTAAAGCACTCCAACACAGTGGTATGGTCCTAAAATAAGTGGTATTGTCCTACACAAGCATGGCGGTATAAGATGAAAGCCAAAGATTTAAGCTGGGATGGAGAAGGTCAAAGATGAGCAACCATTCAGCAACAAGCAAGCCACTTTCTGTAAGAGCATCTGGAGATGCTGTCACAGGAAACAACACTGAGCCCACTCAATAGCAAATATGGAGTCTGATGGTAGCCACGATGCGTAAGGAATTGCTGAATAAAGAAGTTTGAAAGCCATAGCTGCACAATGAGTTCCCATCTCCTACTAGATTCTGTCTGCTGCATATTCAAAACACAATCAAGAAAACATTTCTTCCTTGGCAATCTTCATATGAAGATTTATGACAATGTAAATTCCTGCAAGTGAAGACAGATTAATCCTGAGCTCTGCTAGACAGCTCTCTTAGACTCCTCTTCATTCCAGGACCATACCCCATGCCATGGGATTCTTCCAAGCAGATTTTGGCTTGAACAGGCCAAAGTGATCTCCCCCAAAGTCCAAGGCTGCAATCTCACTTTTTGTTTTGCTTCTCCTCTCAGGATCCTCAACTCCACCACCTCATGGTCACTGTAGCCAAGGCTTTCCCCTAACCTACACATCTCCAACCAGTTCTTCTTCAAGTGTAAGTATGAAGTCTAGCACAGTATGTCCCTTCTTCTGCTCTTCAACCACCTGTGTCAGGAAGTTACCATTAATGCATTCCAGAATCCTCCTGAATTGTTTGTGCTCCTCAGTGTGGGTGACAGAGCACTGGAACAGGCTGCCCAGAGAGGCTGTGGAGTCTCCTTCTCTGGAGACATTCAAAACCCGCCTGGACACCTTTCTATGTGATCTCATTTAGGTTCCTGCTCCGGCAGGGGGATTGGACTAGATGATCTTTCGAGGTCCCTTCCAATCCCTGACATTCTGTGATTCTGTGCTGTCCCTCCAGCAGATATTAATGTGATTGAAGCCTCACCATGAAGACAAGGGCTTGTGAATGTGAAGCTTCTTCCAGTTTTCTGAAGGAGGTCTTTTCTTCCTGACCAGGTGGTCTGTAGCAGACATCTACCACAATGTATTCCATATTGGTGGTTCTGATAATCCTGACCCATAAGCTGTCAACTGGCTCCCCATTCAAACCAAGGCAGAGCTCACAGCATGTAATGAACACCCTGCGCAGCTATTCCTCTCCTACCTTTGTCTTGCACCACCGAACCCCCAGTGGCCGTACTTCACTGCCACGCCGCAGCTGCTACAGAAAGAGGGTCCTGGAACCTTGCACTAACCACAACTGAGGTAGAAAATTATTTTCAAGAATACTGTGACTTCCCTCTTCCTGGTAAATTCAATAGGGTTTCACATAGCAGGTAAACTGTTTGGAAGCCATAATCACTGATTGCTACAAGGACTCTCTTCATCTTCTGCAGTTAAGTGAGGAGCTTCAAACGTGCCACAAATGCTGGCTCTGTTCCTCTATTTACACACATATAGTTTATAGCATTTTAAGTGGCCTCAACTTTTCAGTGCTGTGATTTAGCTGACACTAATTTTGAGGCACTTCTGTAGAACAGTTCCCAGAGTCAAGTGACAGCAATCCTCTCCTCTCACAGAATGAAGTCGTAGCAGCAGCTTTCAGAGCACCAAACTATCTCACAGGCTGGACCCACGCTGTCAGCACTCCTGACACATTATGCCCAGCTTTTTGTGTGAATATGATCTTCACAGGATTAAGAGACAAAGAGTTTTGAATCTCAGAAAAGCAGCTAATCCACTTATTCAAATATGTTAGTTATCTTCTACAGTTATAATCCACTAGAAAAAGAACTTCCCAGAAAATACTTCAGGCATAATTGTTTTATTTTCAGTTTACCAAGTCACTTTAGAAAGTTGTAGTTCTAACACAAAATCTGATTAATGTAAACCTACATAAAGCAAGGACCCTTGGATTTTAAACAGCATTCAGGTTATCTATATAAAGACAGACTTTAAAAATACCTGAAAAGATGACCTGGAAATTTAATTAAATGAAACACAGATTTCAAAGCACTATTATTATAGCTAGCGACTGTTCAGTCAAGTACAACTATTCCATATAATTTTACCATGTCTAAATAATAATGAAAAGATTCTTGCAAAAACCTAGCTGCCTTCAGAAAGAAAAAGTACATATGCTAAAATAATATATCTGCAAATCAACTCCGCAATTTCACAACCAAGTCTGTCCCCCCCAATATTACAGGCAAAGTTGAGGTTAGTGACGTTACCAAAGCAAGATTCCATCTATTTGCTCCACTTGTGGATGAACATGGACTGCTGTGCTTCTGTCATTACCACCATTTTACAGAATCCATATCAAAGTGAAATTATATTTT